GAAGGGGGGATTATACCGGTGCTCTCCCTTTTGGAGAGGGCACCGGAGTATTCACCTAAGATATTTGTAAAATTCATTTGAAAGTTCAACCTACGTCACTTGTCTCAATCTAATAAACGTGCCGCTTTGGAAGAAAATAAAAAAAAAATAAACTATTTTTTATTCAAATTTCAAAAATTAAAAACTAAAAGCGGTTACCGCAAATTCGAGGATGGGAAGAACCAGCGTGCTTTGTGGGCAATTCAGATGTGATTGGAATATGGGAAGATTGGATTAGGGCAGAAACCTGTTTTTTTTTTTCTAAAAGCGGAAAGCCAAGGATTTTATAAATTACATTATGTAAATATTATGTACACTGTAAGATAATTAAAAAGTTTGGGTTTTTAAAATAATTTTATAAATTATATTATGTACACTGTTAAATTGTCAACTTCAGTCACCACTAACAATATTTCCCAAGACATTTTATATTAGCATAACAAAGCATCTAACCAACAGCTTAACATTATAGAATTTAGAAAATTTTGATCAAAATTTTTGAGATAGTTGAAATATATGCCTAAAATTTTAGAAAAATTGATATTTGTGTTTAAAACAATTTGAAAATAATTGAAATAAATGGTTACATAGCTCGTCATTCTTTTAGACTTGAAACTATCAATAATTAAATTCATAATTAAAATTTTAACTGTTTCCTTCTCTACATAAACGACCATAATGTGCTGAAAAAAAAAATATATATATATATATATATATATAGAATAAATGTGATTTTGTTCCAATGGGTTCGCATAAATTTAATGAAACAAAAAAAATGAAATAAATGTATGGCTTGCAGTGGTTTCAAGGGCTCACATCCAAGAACGCGGTAGAATAAAAATATAATATAATTTTATTCATTATTTAAAATATAGGCTCTTACCATTATGTTTCATTTATTTTAAATCTTATATTACTCTCCTAATTTTGAATTTATTTTAAACTATTTTTATTGATATTTAATTTACTCATATAAATTCTCTAATAATTCTCTAATAAGCATTGTCAGTTGACGGGTATTGGTTGGCGATGAGTATCATTAATCAATGAGCACCAGCAGCAAACTAAAGGGCAACTTCTTTGCCAACGATGAGTACCAAAGAGGAATAGTAGCACGAAATGAAGAAGTAATGGAAAGACACTGAAAATGATGTTATTTACAAGTTTGCCATCAGAAAAAAATACTGAAAATAACTTTTTTATTATTTTTAATTTTTGCACTATTTTAGAAAAGATTTTCAGAAAATAAAAATAGAAAAAAGTCACCAAACACATTTTCAGCACTATTTTTAACGAAAACAGAAAACCAGCCTTAGTTTGTAATTTCCACTTTTAATGTCTTCATATAATTTTCATTTTTATATTTATTTCCTTTATAATATGACAAATTCAATTAGAAAAAAAAAAAAAAAAATTGTTGTAAAAATGAGAAGTGCCCAAGTATTGTTTATTTTCAAAGTAAATACTTGAAAAGCTACATGATAGAATCTAAAACTATCAACTGTTTCAAAATAGAATATGTGAATTAATAAAATTTTCAGTTGGGTCAAATTTAATTGTGAAAAAAAATTTGTTCATGAATTGAAGAACTTGGAACAGATTCAAGCGTTGTCTGAAACCAAACTATTCTCCCTCCTAATGTATCACGGAAGCCATTAGTTTGTTGGCTCAGTTGATTAAATTGGGAAGTTTGGGAACAAAATTATAATTTATCATTTGTACGAGTCATCTTCACCAGCAGTAACATAGGGAGGAAAAAGAGAAATTATTGATTGCTTCACAGCCGTAATTTACGGAGGAAAAAGCTATGATCCTTACCATTGGAGATGATAAGAGCAGCTGAAAATGGGAGAGGAAATTAAAATTGGTTTTAATGAAAAGGCTAACGGCTTTGAATGTTTAATATACCTTAGCATAAAGCATAAAGAAAATAAGAAGACAAAGTGAGCCACTTCCCCCATGTTCCTTCTAATCGCGTCTGACACAAAGGGGTCGGCGTGGCATTTATCTTTTGGATTTTCAACACCTTCTTTGACTAAAATGTCGAAAAATCGGCTCTCTTTCCTTTTTTCAAATTCGTTTTAGGGGTGTTTGCAATGAATCGTGAGAAAAAGTAATCGATTGAAAAGTAATATGGGATAAGCAGCCCACAATAACGCAAAGGAAAGAGCAAAAAGAAGTTCGGAAACATTTAGCAGGTAGGACAGCGTCTAGAAGCCCGCCACTCTGGTTCCCCTTTTAACGGGTGACTTCGTGGTATTCCGGCGCCTACTTTAAGTCGATGGTTTTGAAACCTAGGTGGTCCAGTAGCTATTAGATGAGCAATGATGGCATAATTTTTGATATAAAATTCAATTTAAATTCTCTAAATTGTATTAAATTATATTAGAGCGATTTGTAAATTATATTATTAAATTATGAAAATGGAAACTTTCGACCGTAAGAACTTTGATTTTTTATTTTATTAGAGTACAAAATGTCAACTTACTCTATTGAAGGTGAAATTTGTCAACCACCTAATTATATTATTTTTTAAGGGGGTTGTGCTTTTGCTAAACTGTAACTTGTTTTGATAAATTTTGAAAGATTCACTGGATAATTTTTCACACGTATTTTTCTTATACACATGTTTAATTCTTACCTGTTCAAATAAGTCAGCTTTTAAAAATCCTTAATTAAGCTTGGATACCTTAGGATTCTCTATTAAATGATTATTTAGTCTAGATCAGTCGATGCATTAAAAAAGAGAAAAAAGAAAAAGAAATGAATATAGATGAGGATGTTAACTTGTCACTAATTATATTGAATTAACAAAAAAATAATAATCAAAACGACAAACTGTTTGAGCACGTTATCTTTCAAAAAACTCTGTTACTGGGAAAGACAGCATAGAAATTATTTTTTCTACTGTCCGAAATATCATGCTAGTCCCACCATAATTAAATATGTAAAATTATTTGTGTATACTAATGTATTTATTTGGGAATGTATTAAATGGAAGGAGACGAAAAAGCTAACATGTATTTTGTGTTATGTAAGTTTACAAATTATAGCAGCTTAACATGCACGCCACTTAAAAGTTCCGAGTCTAAACTTTCCTCTCCTCTCTGGCTGCAACTTGACAGTTTTGAGTTATTCACTGTTTATATAAATCAATAACTATAGAAAAAAAAAGAATTGAAATTCTAGAAGTAGATAATATAATGATTTTAAAAACTTCACGTTAGATTTCAATTAGTAAACAATTATATTTGGACAGTAAAAATAATTTCTGCCTTGTCTTAGTTTTGATTTTCTCGGCAAACTTATAAATATTTTATCACTTGACAGTTTTGAGGGGATGACTTGGGCCGACGTGGGATGGCGGGACGATATTAAATGACTCGGGCCAACTTGCAACGTCCGGTTCGGTTGTTCCAGACAGCCTGCCACGGTAGAAACTCCCCCCGACCCGAGAAAAAAAAATGGTTATAAGTTGGACTGCCTCCAAGAAGGAAAAAAGAGGGGACTGCCTTGCCGCGTCGGGCTCCCTGGGCCCACAAACGTCGTAGCGAGGCCACGTATTCTCCCGACGTGAAAAGTCCCTCGAAAGTTGATTTCTGCTACCATCTTTGGATGGCGGAGACTACGGTACAACCTTTTAAAAAAGTTGTTTTAAACCTTCGCCACGTGGACCAATAATTGGTCCACGTGGATTCTTCCAGGGACCAAAGTGTAAGTGAAATTATTCAAAGGACCAAAGTGCAAATATTGCACTTTGGTCGTCTTCTTCCCAGAGTCACCGGCCGTCTTCCTGCCAGAGCCACCGATCGTCTTCCTCCTCGCAGAACGGTTGTCTTCCTCCTCGCAAATCGCCGCACGCCGCAAGCCGTTCGGTCGTCTCCTTGCAGAACCGCCACACGCCGCAACCTCGCAGAACCGCCGCACGCCGCAAGCCGTTCGCTCTCCGCTGGGCGTTTTTTTCAAAGCAGGGGCTGCGGGTTTCGAAGAGGGTTTTTTTTCTTTTAGTCGGATCGGGCTTGGAATGGGGCTTGATGGTGAAATCGGAGGCCGTTGGGGAGGGTCGGACTGAGTTTCGGAGTCGGACCGAGTTTCGGAGTCGGACCCTTCGGTCTTCAGATTCTTTGTCTTCCTCTTCTTCCGATTCAACGTCTTGTATGTTTTGGTTTCTTCGGATTCTTCTCCTTCGGAAGATGAAGCGGAAGGAGGCGGTTTGCAGGCGGGCGGTGGCGGCTTGCAAGCGAGCAGTGGCGAGCGATCTGCAAGCGGGCGGCGGCGGCCTGCAAGCGAGCAGCGGCGAGCAGTTTGCGGGCGGGCGGCATCCTGCAAGCGAGCAGCGGCGAGCAGTCTGCAGGCGGGCGGTGGCCTGCAGGCGGGCAGTGGTGAGCGGCGCCGAACAGTGAGCGGCGGTGGACGGCGAGGAGAGAGATGACCTCCAAAAACTAACAATGACTATTTGCACTTTAACCCCTAAAAATATTTACACTTTGATCCTCAAAGACATCCACGTGGCCAATTATAATTGGTCCACATGGCCTTAGCAATCCACGTGGCCAACCTAATTGATCCACGTGGAGATGGTTCCAAAACAAGCCTTTTGGGCTTGGTACGGGAGTGTTCACCTCTTTGGATTTGTCCCGAAGGTTCTGGCCAGCATCTTTAAAGACGTTGTCTCATTGGACATTATCGTATGATGACGTTATTGTTTGATACTGTCACGTGGCATGCTGTATAACAGTCACGTGGCAGTATCTGGGGCAGCACCTACCATCTTTGATTACGATCCCCCGACGATGAAATCTCACATGCATAGGGGGTATGGGAGGCAGCAGCCCCTAGTTCAATGTTACATATAGCTCTGTTCTCCACAATTCCTTTTCCTCAGAGATACCAACATGGGGCAGGGTACTTCATGCTATTTCCTCGTTCTCTCCGGCTTTCTTCCTTTGTTTCTGCTCTCGATGGGTATGTTGATGAAACTGCTATTCTCTTAATTTCTATCTTCAGATTTACAATATTGATGTATTAATTTAAATTCATGATCAGAGCTTCTAGGGTGATTGTATTTCATGTCATTGTTTAGCAGCTGTTGATGGTACTGAATTTACCCTCGTGAACAACTGCAACCACAGCATATGGCCGGCGATCCTCGCAAATCCGGGCAACTCCAGACCTGAACAGACAGGCTTTGAGCTCCCAAGTGACACCTCTCGCCTACTCTATGTTCCGAATCGCTGGGTTGGCCAGATTTGGGCCAGAAACAGGTGCTATTTTAACAAATCCGGGTTCGGTTCATGCACCACCGGAAACTGCGCTTCCGGCAAGATCGAGTGCGATGGAGCCGTAGGCTTGTCTCCGATGACGCTCGTGGAGTTCAATCTGGGGTCGGGCGCCCATGATTCGTACAACGTCAACCTCATATACGGGTTTAACCTGCCCGTAATAGTGGTACCCTTGAGTGGGACCGGCACTTGTGAGTCCGCCGGCTGTATGACGGACTTGAACCTCCTGTGCCCGTTGAGCTGAGAGCCTCCAATGGGTTGGCTTGTAGGAGCGGATGTATGACATTTGGAACCCCCGATCACTGCTGCAGAGGGGCTTTTGGCTCACGCTAACGCCTGTAAGCCGTCAAATTATTCTGTGATTTTCAAGTCAGCTTGCCCCCGCTCGCTCATCGCCGTTACGTTGATTCCAGGAGTGCATTCACCTGTAAAGGTGCAAATTACAAGATCACGTTTTGCCCAAGGTAAATTGTTTGAAATTCTTGTTTTTTTAAGGTTTAAAAATTAGATTTTGGAAATTTTGATATAAGTTTGAATTAGGACTTTTTTATTTTTTATTTTTTAAAAAATTATACCTGAAAACAGAACCTCTGAGCAAATTAAACACCACCCACTGGGTGGTTGAAGAGCCAAAATATGTTTTCAGACGGAAGTTAGCGATCGATTTAAGTCTGTTTTTGATCTGTGGTTATTTTTTTGGTCTGCAGTAAAAAATATGCAAAAAAATAACATCAACGGCCGTGATAACCACTGAAGAACCAGAAGAAACGGGGGCGGGGACTATACGTTCAGGATCAAAATTGGAGGTTAATGGTTCGGAATCGAAGCCCGCGCCACGTGGTTGATTGAACCTGGACTCGTTTGCGTTCATGTGCTTTACCCATTTTTCATTTCTTGTATTTCCTTTTTTTTAAGAACACCTGCTGGGTTTGTTTTCCTATCTATTTGCGTGCCTGCTTGTAAATATCAATAATATATTTTGTTTGACACTTTCAACAGTTGGACAAAGCTTTTCAAGCGGTTAAATTTTCACTTACTTTTTTTTAAAAAATTATATTTTTTAGGTTAATAAGTTATTTAGCAGTTTTTTTTTAAAAAAATCAATAACCAAAATATCTTATCTTCCATAGACCAAAGGATAAAATCATTTTTATTTTCTTTTACCGTATTACCAACCTAATAAAGCAACTCTGGGTACGAAAAATCTGTTATCAGTTTGTGTGAAATAAACTTTCTTCTATTAACAATCTTGTAAAATATGCGCTTTATGATGTTTTTTTGTTTGTGCAGTTTCAGTGTTTTGATTTTCTTTCTTTCGCACAATTTTGATGTTCCTGAGAAACATTGGCTTTATGTTCTATACTAGGGAGAATACCAAATTTTCTTGGGCACATTTTTTTTTTTAAATTGAGAATTTGTTTCAATAATTTAAAAGTAGCCAATAATTATTTTTGGTTTAATATCTTTTTCAGTTGACATGAATTGAAGAGGGCATAAGTTATAATTATGAATGATAATTTTTAAAAATCAAAACTACTTTGACTATATTAAACCCGTGAATATATATTTTTTAATAACTAGACAACAAACTTCAAACTTGAAAGTAATAAATTTATTTATTTTATTTTTTTATACATTAAAGACATAAATTAACCAAAAGCTTAATGTAAAAAAGGAAGAGAGATTTGCCCAAGTAAATTTTACAAGTCACATACCACTTTAGTTAAATTTTGAATTTCAATAATATTATCTTCTTTAAGTCTTATGACTAGACAGGGTAATTGTGGTCCAAATATACGGCCTTGGACCCTCTACTGTCACTAGGCTCCAATTTGTCCGCTTGCTGCCCCAAAAACTCCGGTTTCATACCGTACGGCCCAACTAGTAGCACATTCAGATATTTCAATCGAGGAGGGTTATCACAACGCCGGTGTGATGTCGGGTAACTACCTAATGGTACATGTCAAAAATAAAATTATCTTTTTAAAAATAATATTTTTTTATTATCATAAAAAAGATTAATAGATAAATTTAAAAATTTAAGAAATAAGTATTGCTTCTAGATAAAACTTCGTATATGTACACGCATATACACACATACAGGGTATAAATTCTCCCCGTGCTTTACGCTCTCTTTACCATACACCAAAATGGGGCAGAGTATACTCGGGTGTCCTCCCGAATCCCACAGCTCCTCAAAGTATTGATCCTACGGATAGTCCTGCAATTTTATCTAATGTTCATTTTGGTCCCTCTACTTCTTTTTTGTTCAATTTATTCCCTCAAATTTTATTTATTGATCAAATAAAACAAATGACGAAATTTGTAAAAACGTTGTGAACCCAAACAAACACGGAAATTTTCTTCTCTAGAACCCTCTGTAGCCGGTCAAAGCAAAGTGGCGTACATGTTAAGCTGTCCGCCACTTGGTTGGATGCTTTACGTTAATAAATACAAAAGCAAATAAAAACAAAATGATTTTGAAAATATCAAAATTGATTATCTAATAACAGCATTCTATAATATATTATTTATTTTAATAAACCAAAATTTTCCTTTTGATATTACTTTTGTGCCCATGCAGAGGTTGTTTCGCTTCCACAGTTGGTAAATGCACGGATAATCATTAAATATGTTTAAATTTGAGCAGAATATAATTGGCACAAGTTAGTTTTCTTAATTAACTTAACCCATAAAACATATTAATTGTGTGTTTTTTGATGATATGATCTTTTTACACTTATTAATTATTAATGAGTTTCAGATAATAATTTTTAAACTGTTAATACAGGTTTAAAATTTCAAAAATTTTCAAATATTTATGCAATGGCCCGATTTTCTGGTTTTATTTTTCTTTGGGACTATTTTGCATTAATTGAAACTCTTGGGACCAAAATTGCAAAATGTGGGGAGGGAAGGGACAAATTAAAAGTGTTGGGGCGATTCTGCAATGTTGAGAGAGATGAGGGACTGCATTGTGATGATTAATTACTGCAAGGACTGGATTGTGACAGATCTGAAAATTCCAGTCGGTCGGCGGCCGAAGGCTTCGCCCGCAGAAATTTGAGCCAATCCGAGTGAAACAACTTTCCAATCCTAGCTGTTAAGGTATATTGGGTGGTGTAGATTGAAAGGGAGGATTAATTTGAGGGTTTTGGGAAGAGATGATGGGGAATTTGGGGTTTTTGCATAGGTTGGCCATCCGTGTAGGAGCTGGATTTTTCTGAAATTGGAAGGAGTTATGTTCATTTCCCTCTGATCAACCGGCTTTCCGAGGTTCGTGGGGTTCGGCTTTGAGGGTTTCAGGTCTTCAATTAATCAAGCAAGCTAGATTTTTGGTTTTTGGTTACAGATGATTTGTTCTGGTTTTTCTGCTTAAGTGAAGGAATCCGAGTTGGGGCTTCCAGGCGGAGAAGAAAGGACTCGGAGGGGGTCCGGGTCTTTGACAGGGCCCCGACCCGTCCGCTGGGGCTTGGGCTCGGCCCGGAAGAGTTGGGTGGCCCGTGGGCTGAGCCGCGGGCCAGCCCAGGGGGGGACGGTTCTGTCGGGTCTGTTACAGACCCGGACACCGTTCGGGTGACAGGGAAGGGACTCGGATGGGTTCGGGTCCCTGGCAAGGGGCCGACCCCCCCCTGTTGGGCCTGGGCTCCGCCCAAATCAGCTTCAGGCCCACGGGCTGAGCCATGGGCCAACCCCAGGTGAGGCTGGGTTGAGTCGACCCGTTGGGTCGACTCGGCCCAATAAAGAGATGGACTGGGTCAACTTTAGCCGAGTTGACCTAGAAGAGGGAAATTAGAATAGGCAAACCCAGGGGGTTAAGGAATCAGGGATAAGGCCAGATTGAGGATAGCGGGGGATAGTGTAATCAGAGATTTGGGGATTAGGGTTCAGGGAGTTGACTGAAACCGGCCAGAAATGGTCCAAGGTTTGACCGGCCGGTTCAGTGATCAAATGGACTCGAATTTGAGAAGTTGGACCGGTTCTGGATTCAGGGTAAAAATACCTATCAAATCAAGTGGGTTCGGAAAATTTTGGGTGCCCGGTTTGAGGTGAACCGGCAGTTTAGTGTGGTCCCTTCGGGTGACCGGTTCACCGATTTTTAAGCCGATTTTTGGGAAGATTGGACCGGTTCCTGGTTCAACATGATGAAACCTAGTTGACCATGAAATTTAGTGATGTTTGAATGTCGGGTTCAAGGTGACACCGGCCTCAATTTGCGTGCCGATGCATAGAATTAGGGTTTTTGGCCCGATTTGGCCCAACCTTAAAGGTTTTTGGCAAGGTTAGTATGGTTTCTAAAGTTTTTGGGCCTTCTGAATCTATTTTTGAGGGATTTATGGCCAATCGAGTTGAGTTCGAGATAGTTTTGAGATTGGATTAGGCCGGTTAGAGGGCTTCGGAGACCGGTTCACTATGGGTTGGGGGTTGTGGAGGCTGGTCTTTTACTATTAAGGGTTGTTGAGTCGAAGTGTGAGTGTTAATGAGTCGCGTGGGATCCGATGATGGGTAGTGGTGTCTCGGGATACGTGTTAGGTACGGAAATGGGATTTAAGTCCCGTCTTGGGCTGTCGAGCCATTTGGGTATTGACGATGAGGATGGTGACGATTTGTATAGTTTTGGTTTTGACTTCAGGTCCACCCGTGGAGGAGCATCGAGACCGTAGATTTGGTTGAGGTGACCGGAGACTCTTGTTAGACGCGATCTGTATGGTGAGTGATGATACCCTCTCTGTGCATATATTTTTGTGTGCCTGGTTTCCTAGCATGATGATGGTGTGGATTCATAAACTGTATCTTGATACCTAAATCATATGATATGTATTATGCTCTATTTTCTGTTTGGTGGGATATATATATTAGTATGTGAAACTGGGTTGGGATTTGGAACTATATATGTTGTATGTTTGTTTGTGCGAATGTGTGGGGGAGTTCATGATGCGCTGAGACCGTTTACTCCGGTCATGAAATGGAGGATGCCTCTCAACCGGGAGCGTGTGGTGGTGCCCTTGGTGGGCGTGTGGCTCCGGTTTTGAGATGGATGATGCCTCTCAACCGAGAGCGTGATGTGTGATCGTGTTGTGGCCTGATCGTGAGACGGAGAATTCCTCCGATCAAGGCTACAGTCTCAGTGATCATTGAACTTCCAGATCTGTGTATATTTTATGTTGGTATTGATCGTTGTATGTGTGTTCTTGACTTGCGCGTGTGGATGGCGTTGTGTGATGTGATGTGATGTGGGGATGCCAGGAACTCGACTAGAGTACGGATCTGTAGCGTCCAGTGGTGAGTGGCCTGGGTCGTGTGTGATTTGGCGATGCCAGAACTCGGTTGGAGTACGGTGGTTCGTAACGTTCAGTGGTGAGTGGCCTGGGTCATGTGTGATTTGGCGATGCCAGGAACTCGGCTGGAGTACGGTGGTCCGTAGCGTCTAGTGGTGAGTAGACCTGGGTCCAATGTTGTTATGCGATTTGATGTGTTGCAATGTTATATGATGTGATGTGATGCGTGGTTAGTGGTATTTTTCAGAGTATAGTTGATGTGTTATTAATTGTTGTATATGTCAGTATGGTTTAAATTGTGACGTGATGCATATTTTGACATGCATAGAGTAGGTATCGTCCGTACTCATTGAGTTTCGTGACTCACTTATTATAACCTTTTAGATATAGATTGCTGTTCTCGGATTGCGTGCCAGGATTGAGACGGACGTCTACCACTCAGTTATTGTGTGGGCAAGTTCTTGTTTATCGTTTTGTACTCTAAAGCTCCCTTTATTACTCAGACAGGATCCTGGCTGTGTAGATGGCGGTTTTGAAATATATATATATATATATATATAAAATGTTTGGGGCTAGTTTTGGGTATATATTTACGATGTTAAGGCTGACTAGGGTGGGGACCCTAGTACCGGTCGGGCCTGAGTTGGGGCCTTGACAATTTAATTTAGAGAGTGTAATTTTAAAATAATAAATTAAAAAATTAGACACAAAAAATTGTAGATTGAGGAAGTCAAAAAATTAGTTGATTTTTACAAAAAATACAGGTTCTTTTCTCGATCATCAAGTCTTGTTATAAGTGAATTTTTACTTGGATTTTGGCTATGCTAGGGTATGGTTTAAAAAACCAAATTAGATTAGCCGGCTGAACCAATCAGACTATTAATTGATCTTATGTTGGTCTAATTTTTGTAAAAACTAGTAAAGTTAAAAAAATTATTCTATTTTGTGATAATCGTTAAAAACTAGATAGTTGAATTGGTTACAAATGCATTGCTGAAAAAATGTAATTGTTGTGAGGCAAGAATCAAACCAGCATCACTAACATGGATTAGTGTTGTTTGCTACCAAACTACTAGTACATTTTTCTAATAGCTTTGTTTAATAAAAAAAGTTGTAATTTCTGGATTGGAATGAAACAAATTTATCCTAATTTCATATTAATTGAAACTTATTGTAACTCACTAATGGATATGAAATTTAATTGAGTGTGGATTGAAATTATTGTAGCTAATTAATAATTTTGACTTTTAAAATTACATATATATGTATTAATTACATAATTATGATATCATAGTACAATTACGATTTAATTAATAATTGAAACAATAAACTGTGAACCATTAACTTTTTTGTTCGATGAACAATTTGGTTTTTCAAACATTGGGCAAGGGGCGATTTAGTCTTGATTGCAAAACTAGAAAGTTGAAAATCAAATAGAGAATTTGCAAATAATTGGGGGACCACGAGTGTAATTTTCCTATTCTGTCGTGAAGCTATGCGATTGTGTCCGGTGGATCTTGCCCTCTCTTGCTGCTTTTTGTTTTTTATTTTTTTAATTTTCATCAGACGTTGTACGATGAAGGTGCAAGAAATTTCTGGATTCACAACACGGGCCCACTGGGCTGCCTGGCCCAGAACGTAGCCAAGTTTGGGACCGACCCATCAAAACGGGATGAGCTAAGGTGGGTGAGCACTCATCAGCAAGCTGCCAGACTCCTCAACCTGCACCTCCACGCGCTCTGTAAAAAGCTGCAGGGCAATTACACCGACCCCAACGTGCCGTACGTCGATATCTTCGCAATAAAATCCAATCTTATTGCAAACTACTCTCGTTACGGTAAGTGCAAATATTAAGGATTTTTTCATTTTATTATTTTAGTACTTAAAATTCTTAATTTTATCAAATATGACCCAAATTAGACTCGTTAGCCTAATAATTGAATGTAAAGGCACAGTAGGGGTATTAGATTATTTAAAATTTTGGGTCTTTAATTTTTAATTTTATCATATAAGGGCTTAAATTTAGATCCAATATGCTACTAACTGAATGCATGGAGCAAAATTAGATCTGTAGAAACCGTATCCAAACATGTCAGGCCCGCCAGAAGTAGAAGCCCGACTAACGACACCCATTTTCACTACCCAATCTAACCGGGTCGGAGAGGATCAAAAGCAGCCACTTCCCAATCCAGTTTCAAAACGCGATCAATAGCTGTCTATTTAAGGTATTGTTTATTCTTGCGAAGTTTTAACAAATATATATCCTAGCCTAGATATAGAACCCGATTCGATCCGATCCAATCTGCTAATATTGGAATCTGGTGAATATGGACAATCGGGTAATTTAGAAAGCAACTCTACCTCCACTGACCTGTATCACACATGTCAAGCCCCATTAGACGCGACCCACCATCGTTTGACGGAGAAGACAAGAATTGGGCGGCCTCTGTAGAACCACCTCCACCTCCCAACCTACTAGGAAAGTGTTTGTGAACTCTTTTCCAATTAACCGAACATTGTACACTTAAAATCCAACCTTTTTATACAACCAATCAACTAATACAATTTAATTTTCCATTTTTTTGTTATATATTTATATATAACCCCAAAACGAAAAGTGTCATTAATTCCAATCCTAGTATTTGAATGCAATGCAAATTGTTGGTTCAATTTTGAGGAAATTCAATTGCAGGATTTGAGCAACCAATAATGGCGTGTTGTGGGTTGGAGGTCCGCCATTGAACCACAACAGCAGGGTGGCCTGTGGTCTGACGAAGGTGATAAATGGAACCTCAATTACGGCCACGGGGTGCAGTGACAGCACCGAATATGTGAACTGGGACGCAATCCACTATACGGAGGCGGCGAACCAGTATGTCGCCTCCCAAATTCTCACCGGAAAATTCTCCGATCTACCGTTCGCCGACAAGATGCCTTTCCTGCTCAACCTCAAGTTCTAGCACCCAAAGAAGAGAGAGAAAAATTACATCATTCTTTTTTCTCACTTACTTGATTGAATGTATTCTGGAGGTTACTACCTGCATATCTGCATTCCAAATCATTTAATCAATTATCTCCACGGCAGGGTAGTTATATCGTTAATCACATTTCATAAACTTGTTTGAATCTTAAACTGAAATGTTTAAGACTTAATTTATACGAATGCTTCTTCTGTTCGATAAAATTAAAAATAAGTGCTTAATACTTTGAGCCCTTTTAAGTTCTAGTATTGAAATGTTAAATGCTGAATGTTTAAATTTTAAGAAATTATTACATACATAATGACTTATAATATAAACAAAAAGGACTTATTTTACTCATTTAGTATTTAAAATTCAAAATAATTTTTTACCAATTTTAAAATTTAATTAGCTGAATATTGAATGCTATTAAACAAACTTACTGTCAAAATGATTGAATATTGGAAACTTTTTATTCTAAATAAAAATAATTATAAACTCAAACACTTCTGAACTAAATACTACTTGATCCATCTCTCTCGTAATCTAATTTTAATTTTATTTTTTTGGAATTTTATATTTTTAAATTTTTTGATATTTTTATATAATTTTTTAAAATAAATAAAAAAATCATAAAATTTTTGAATCTTTTAATAATAAAGTCATTAAAAATTTAAGCACTTTTAAAGTAAATATCTCCTTAGGTTGTAAGTATTATGATGTTTTAAACTTTTTTATAATATTTGATTTAATATAAAAAAGTCAATCTTTTACTGTGTTTGATTATCCTTGAATAGAGGCTAAAATAAATTAAGAGAACATTACTCATAACTATGGCTTGGTAATGTTGATTATTGGAATGTCAAAATGTAATATATTTCCATTCGGGTCATAAAAAGGAAAAAAAATTTATCAGTTAAAAACATTTACATCCTCAAATACTCATATTATTTAAATATAAATTTATATAATTATAAATATAAATTTATATAATCATAAATATATAATTGTGTAGTTGAAATCTTGAATTAATTACGTACATATGTGCTTAAAATTATATAAATGCATATTTATAATTACACAAATTTATAATTATAATAACAGGGATATTTTAAAAATGTAAATATTTTTAATTGATCATTTTTTCTTACTGACTTTAAATAAAACTATTCTATATTTTGACTTTCTAAATCATCAATTTTTCCACGTTGTCTGGCTTGATAATTTCTCAAAAAACTCTCTATTGGATAAAATACTTTAAAAAAATGTTTATTTCACCGACTTTTAATTAAAACTAAGCATTCAAAAAACTAAAATTCCAAATCACATTAATATTGAATTTTTCGCCCTGAAGCAAATACCTATTAAGCAAATATCTGATTTTATAGGTTTTAAACATTTTTAAAAGAAAATCACATTTATGAATTTTTAAAATTTAAAAATAAGCAATTTAAATTGTAAAGTTTGAATAAATATTTTTTCCAAAAAATAAAATTATGCACCAAAACAATTAGCATTTGAAATTGAAGTTTAATCATTCATAAAATATTTGAAATTTTCATTTAAAAGTTGAACCTATCCCACTTTAGCTCTTTCTCAACCTAGTCGCATGCCTAATCACCTGCCGCTATGAAAAAAAAAAAAAAAAAAAACAAGTGGGAGGTGGTTGAATTTAAAATTATGGGAACACGATTCTCCGCGTCCAATTTGCGCATTAATGTACTCAAAGGTCGCGGTGGCCCTCCTCCTTAGAGCTTTGTTTAATGCTGCAGATGTCCCCTTGAGGGCCGTTAATTACAGGTCAGTTTTACATCATTGCGTAAGCTAGCCCGTAATCAACGGCTGCCATTTTCTCCAGAAAAGCGGAACGGCGAGGATGAAAATCCCGCTACATGACAATGCTTTACATTATCCACCATTAAAGTTCACAAAGTTCCCAGGCATGAAACCAGGAAGAGACTGGCCAAATTTAAAGGGAATGTGATAATTTCTCAAAGTGATTCTATTGAAACTTGAATTTGTTAAATGTCTAATTTAGAAAAAATTTAATATGTGAAAATATTTAATTTTTGTTTCATTAAATAGTATCTTTTAAGATGAATTTGATCATAGATTTGCAGTAAAGAATATATTATTTGATTTAAATGATTCGTATATTAATTTATTTTTTATTTGATTTAAGAATAAATTTTTTATAAAATATAAAAAAATGTTAAATTAATGCATATATTTAATTAAGATATTTTTTTAAAAAAAATAGCTGCACTCAAACGTACTCATATAAAAATGATAACAAAATTAATTATAGATTAGGACCAAATACATAAATTTTAAACGGTTAAATGCATATAATTCAGTGAAATTGATCGTATATAAATGACCATGTCCTTGATCTTTAGTTCCAAATTTTAATTCCTAGTTTTTATTTTGATTTTAATTCGTATAAGAGAGTAATTATTAAAAATGAAAATATTTAATCCCCATCGGCATCTATGACGACATTGATGGAAGAAACCTGACGGGTGTGCTTACCTCATCGTCATGCTTCCACGAATTGCTTATAACTTGTCCCCTTGCTCCACTGTCTCTGTACCCAGAAAAATCAAAATGCGGCGGAGGCTATTCTCTCCAATCCCATCTACCCTCGTTCTCTTCGGGTTTCTCCCTTCGTTTATGCTCTCAATAGGTATGTCTATGAATATCTTTTGTTTTAAAATATTAAACTATTAATTCATATCCATGATCAGAACTTGTTGGCTCACTGTTTTGCTTGTTGCCGTTGCCAGGTGTTCAGGGTACAGAACTTACCCTTGTCAACAACTGTACCCACAAGATATGGCCCGCAATACTCGCAAACCCGGGCAGCACCAGCCTCGAGCAGACCGGGTTCGAGCTCGCAACTCATACCTCTCGCACACTCCAAGTCCCTGATCGCTGGGTCGGCCGGATTTGGGCCCGAAATGGATGTAACTTTAACAAATCCGGTTTCGGTTCATGCGCCACCGGAAACTGCGCTTCCGGCAAGATTGAGTGCGAGGGAGCCGTAGACGCGTCTCCGGTGACGCTCGTGGAGTTCACTATCCATGACTCTTACAACGTCTTGTATGACGTCAGCCTCGTATACGGTTTTAATCTGCCCGTGATAGTGAAACCCCTGAGCGGGGCCGGTACTTGCGGATCCGCTGGCTGTATGACGGACTTGAACGCCCAGTGCCCGGCGGAGCTGAGAGCCGCCAATGGGTTGGCTTGTAGGAGTGCTTGTATGGCATTTGGAACCCCAGATTATTGCTGCAGAGGCAAGTTTGGCTTACACGACACTTGTAAGCCATCAACTTATACAGTGCTTTGGAAGCTGGCTTGCCCCCGCTCGCTCATCACCGGTTACGACGATTCCAGGAGTACATTCACCTGTAGAGGGGCAGATTACAAGGTCGTGTTCTGCCCCTTGCATGCGGCGGCAAGGTATAATTTATTTCAGAAATATATTGAAAACCACTGAAGAAAACTTGAAGCGAATTAAACACCACGTACTGGGTGGGTGGTTGAACAAGGAAAAAAGGTTTTCAAACTAAAATTAGGCATCTATTTAAGCATGTTTTTTTAATCTGTGGTTATTTTTTTGTCTTGCAGTAAAAAATCTGGAAAAAAATTTACATCAACGGCCGTGATAACCACTGAAGAACCCGAAAACACTGGGTCGGGGATTATATATTCAGGATCAAAACTGGAGGTTACTGGTTCACAATCCATGCCCGGGCCACATGGCTGATTGAACTTGGAATTGCTTGCTCTGTGTTTTACTCATTTTTCTTTTCTTTTCTTCTGTTTTTTTAAATCAGGTGGTGGTAGTGTTTGCCTATGCAGTTACCTGCATGCTTGTCGATATCAGTATGACATTTCGTTTGACACTTTCAACAGATGGTTCCAGAATTTGTCTTTCGTTGAACAACGCTTTTTAAACCGCCTCTGAGCTATTCGGAGCTAGTTCTCTTAAAATTCATTTATAAGTATATTTTACCTTTTTTTATAAAAAAAATATTGATATTTTAGGTTAATAAGTTATTTAGTTCCTTTTTTAAATCAATAACCCTAACATGTTATCTTCCATCGGCCAAAAGATAAAATCAATTTATCTATTTATTTGTTTGTTGTATTACCAACCAGATGAAAGAAACAGCGAATGACGGATTCATGGAAAAGGAAATGTGAACGGCCACGGTACAGGATTGTGGTGTAAAGGATTAAGCTATCCATGTGTTTATTTTTCAGTTGGCAATAGTTCTCTTAATGGATAAGATTTCAATCTTAATCTAATATGAATTTGATTCAAATTTTATAATTTAAATATAATTAAAATATTTGATGAATTATATCCAATTATGAATATTGTAATCTAAAATAAGTAGATCAGATATAAAATTAAGTAATTTAATTTATTAAGAATCTGAATCTAAATTTTAATAATTTTTTAAATTAAATTAATAATCTTAATTATATATGATTTTAATAAATTCAAAGTTACAGAAACTAAATTGAAAAAAATCAGAAAATTCAAATACCAATATGATTGATACAGAGCTGAGGAACTTAAATGCAAAATAATAATATTTTTTTATTAAATCGAATTTTCTTATCGAATTTTGAATTGTGTATTATATTCAGATATGGTTTAACAAATATAGATCCTATAAAATTTTAAATCAAATTCGTATATGTCAGATTTGATCCAAGTTTAATTCATTGATAGTCCTAGTTAACAAGAATTGAAGAGAACTGGTCACATTGACTTATGTAATATATAAGATTATTAAGTACTATAATTTTTTAGGAGGAGGTTTTTTTGTGGTTGTTTTGTTTGTATATATAAAATTAATTAAATATCCATTACAAATTATGTCACAATCCACACTAAGATATTATGAAACACTAAGGTGACATATGGCACGATGGAATAACTTTTTATAGAATGAGAATAGGAATGGAAATGGGAATGAGAACGGGAATGGAATGAAATAGAATCAAGATTCTTATAAGTATGTTTGATACACATTAATGGAACGATAATTCATATCCTATCATTATGTTTGGTATGTTGGAATAGAGATAAGAAAGTAAACAAAAAAAATGTTAAAAGGCAAAAATACAATTTGTTCTAAAGATTAAAAATTAAAAAAAATAACTTTTAATATATTTTAAACGTATTAAAAAATTAAAAAAATTTTTTTTTATTCTAACATTAAAGTATTAAATTCATATATATATATGTGTATTTGTATGTATATATATAATAAGTTATATATATTATATAAATATAATAAATGATATAATATATCATATTATATAGTTTATTATATTATACTAGATATATATAATACATAATTTTATTATAAAATTTATTATAGTGTAATATAATATATTAATATATAATATTATAAATACTTATAATTTTTTATATCTATATGATATTTTTGTCATAATTAAAAAGTAAATGGTAATATAGTAATTAACACCTAAATAAGGATTTTATCAGGGGATAGAATTCGGATTCCATCACTCTAGCGAAAGAATCTAGATTCCTTCATTTAATGGAATCCTCGTTCCAGGGAATGAGGATTTTTATTTCAAAGTGCCTACTAAACGCATTTTTTTGACATTCTCATTTTTTCAACAAGATTATAAAGTACCATACATCACCTAAGAGATCTAGATTTAATAATAGAGGGGTAACTGTAGCAATGGTGTACACACCACTAACTCGATCAACAACCCAAAAAAGCCCTCCTATTATTTACAATCAGTGATACAAGTGATGGCCGATGTTAGCTTGGTTAGAAAGCCGCAAAAGAACCCTTATTTTGTTTGGAGTGGCAGTGACAAATGATAATGGTTGCTCGATTGGTAAATAACATGATTCAGTAAGAGATAATATATTTACAATATCGTTGAGAAAAGTGTCAATGCAAAAGTGTTTCTACAAGACCTTTCACTGTTTTAAATATAACATTTCAGAAACAATGATACAAACAATGTGGGCAGAAAAGCCATTTAAAATTAAACCGTGTTCAAAGTGAAGTCAGAGTTCTGAGTCCAGAACTAAACACTGAGTAGAAGCCCGCCAAGGGTCAGCAAACCCACCAAGGAATAAACAAAACTGATCGGCATGCGTCGACCAAACACATCCAGCTAGCATCTCCCCTGCCAGCTAGAATCTTGAGTAAGATGCACCAAGACTAAGTCCCTACAGGTAGCTACAGTATTTTTCAAGGAATCCTCCCACAACATTTGGTATAAGAATCTAACTTTAGTTAGTTCTTCACTTTCAGTCAGAAATTCTCACACCATGTATTATCAGAATCATCCCTTTAACACAAACATAGTCCGATATTATATTAAGCACAAGTTTATAACAGATACAGAACACAGTTTGGTACTTATGTTATAATTACTAATCACAAGTATCTGTTTACCTAAGAAAAACGGTTCTGAAGTGCTTATCCCAAAGTTTATCTAATTTAACAATTAAAATGTTTTCAACATGAAGTTTTTCCAAAATGTTTCATTTTAGTTAGTTAAATGCATATAATAAGATATGAAAATGAGAGAGTCCGTGAAGAGCTTAGAAAACTTAAATAAAATAAATTATAAATGTATATTATCACGCACGACGGAGGCCGAAAACGATAGGGTCCAAGTCTATGATATTGTGGAGCCATCGGGAATCACAAGAGGAGTCTTTGGTGAACCTAAAACCACAATCAAGGCTTTATAACCCAGATTTAATACTTCACACCTTAAGCCAACCAATCATCGCTCTAACCAAGAAGTCCCCAAATCAGGAACTAGATTTTGGTCATAAAATCCTTAAATCCAAACGTAAATGTACTCTAATTCCTAAAGCACGCAATAGAAATGTATTATTCTAATCGATATTAATCATACATAATAAATTGAAACCGAATAACAGGAGGCGTAAACAGTGATCGAGATATCTTACTCGAAGTCCCTAAATTAAAGATCCTAAATCGGCATTCCTGATACGACGCTCCAATTCAGCCAAGAACCGAATCAAAAGCAGATTAAACAACAGATAACACAGGCAGAACTGCAGCTCATCACACAGGCCGATAAGAAGCAGAAGAGGACAGACAGATAATAGAAAAGGACAACGAGCAAGCGGCTGAGAAGATGGACAGCAAGCACACAACAGAGAAGTGACAAAAAGCAAAACAACTATGAGATGCATTAGCCACATAAAGAGAGGGAAGCAGAACTTCCAGCCAGGAGATAGACAACGCAGGGAAGCACAGCAAAGCCCAAAACTGGGGCTCAGATGAACAATATGCGGTGATTAATGTCAAACGAATCAACAGCAAAAGAATGGAAACGAATGAAGGGGTTTCTACCTCTCAAATCAACTAAACAAGCTGGTGTTCGGGGCTGAAGAATTGACTGGCGACGGCTGTTGCGGCTATAAGGAATGCCGATGACTGCGGGGGAGGGAAGAAACAAGCACCGGCGGCGTCACGATTGGCAAAGGAAACAGAACACCCCGCAGCGTACCACAGCAGCTGTTGGAGAGAAAAACGGAAGGCGGAGATGGTCTGCAGCGGTCGACGGAGGAGAAGGGGCGGCATTGGTCTCGGCGAGCTCACCGGCGAGGTGGCTGGTGGTCGGGCAAAGTAGCACAATTGTCGGAAGGTCTACAATGGCGGCATGGGTACTATAGCACATGAAGGCTCGGCTGAAAGAAGAAAATCCCCTCTTCAATTTGCACTTAAGTCCCTCAGATCTTCTGTCAACGCCCATAAGTGCCTAAGGTTTCAGAGCTTCACATAACCGCCTCGATATCCTGCTTTCATTATCCCTGCAAGTTCAATTTCATTCAATTAAACCCTTTGAATTCCAGCTGGGTATTAGAAATAATATAGGATTTAAAACAGCAACAAAACTAACATATCTATCATTTATTTATTAATTAAGATAATGATAAGTTAAATCTGAGATAATTATAATTTCCTTTACAATCACAAATCAACAGTCCCGTCACAATGAGGAGTTAATAAAAGCCAAGTGCATCAACTTACAGATTTCAACTGAGAAGCCCGTAAACACCAAACAAACATCAAAATTTTCTTCTCTTGAACCCCTGTGTGAGAAGCCAGTCAACGCAGAGTGGCGTAATTAAGCCGCTGGGCCCTTGGTTGGTTGGTTGCTTTATAATATTATGTTAATAAATATGAGAGAGCAACAAAACAATTTTGGAAACATGAAAATTAATTATCTAATAATAGCATTTTACAACATACGATTTATTTTATAGACCCAAATTTTCCTTTTGATTTTGCTTTTGCACCCGTGCAGTAGTTGTTATTTCGCTTCCGAAGTTGATAAATGCACTGAGTTATATAATTAAATGGGTTAAAGTATGAACTGTCCAATTTTAATTGAGTAGGATATAATTGGCACAAGTTATAACATATTAAGTGGACGTTTGATAGCATGATTTTTAACACTTATTAACTATTAATACGTTTCGAATACTAATTTTATAAATTGTCAAGTTAGATCTAGAAAAAACTTAAATGTTCAATTTAAAGATAGAATTTTAAGGAGAGAGAGTTGAAAAAGTTTAGAAAAACATTTCAATTCCCGCCTCTAAGAGAAAACTTTGACGATTAATGTTTTCATATGATATATTTAGCAAACTCAACGTATTTGTATTGAATAAATAGTTTAAATATATATGGATAAATACGAAGATAATATGTACATAAATATTTTTATTTTTACATTTTTGAAAATTATGAGAAAAAAAACTCATATTATAAGCCTTTAAATCATTATTGTATCATATACAAACAAAAATATGTGTCCTGTCTAACAAATTACTTGAAAAGGATGTTGATCCAATTTGTAATATACTAGTTGGGAGCACCACACAAGGTGCGGTGTTCTACCCATTGTCAGTTCGAATTGTTGTACTCCTGATCTATTTTTGAAATATGTTAAATTTTTGCTTATTTTTAATTGAAAGATCATGCTAGTTGAATGAAAAGTAGATATTAAATGATAAAGTTTAAATTAGAAAGAATTAGAGATATTTATAATAGAATATCCTGATACTTTGAAGAGAATACATTCAAAAGAGGGCTAATCTTAATTAAAAGTGAAAATTGAAGAGTACGAAGGAAGGCTGATGTAAATTAAGTTAGGGCTGTCAATGGATATGGGCCTTGGAAGGGGTGTGGTTGATCCAAAATCCAGAAATGTGCAGTGCACCACTGATAATTTTCAACTTGAGGTGGACGTAAGATAGAGTAATGGACACCATGTACTAAATGTTTTGAACAAATTGAGTTTTCTTGTGGGATGTATAGGTGTGTAGTGGAGGTTGGTCAAAGGAAAGGATTAATGGAAGATTGAAAACAATAATTCGTTTTGAACGAGTGCTGACAACTATATCTGATCCGACGACGTCGAAGTACGAATAAGCTATATCTTGCACTTTGATCACATCTCGCCGACTTGAATTTGTCAAAAGTGAATATATAGCTAAGAATCTCTTTGAAACAATTTATTAAGCGGGAGTAATTTAAGGAAGACTTGTCTTTGGATCGATAATTGTAAAAGTAGTACGAATCGATTTCTTCAAAGAATTTGAATGTCATCTAGTAATCTGAATCAGAAATGCTGTACCTCAATTGCTGCTTTTCCACTTCAAAGATGATTATTTAATAACAACTTTCTTTAGAAAATATGCTTTGGGACGACAACTTTCTTTACTAAATGGAAACTTCTTCCCAGGAAAATTCTCTCTCGTCCTGCTTCCCTTTTTGTCTCTCTCGCTCCCTTCCTATCGCACGCGTCAGTTGTCCAAAAAGTGAAATGTCCTCGTCCAAAATTTGGCATTCCTGGTCAACTATAACCTAATCAGTGACGTAAGCATTGGGGGAGACACGTTAACAAGGGACGCATTTGATGTGTACATATATGGCCCTCTATCTCTCTTGTCCTCTGCAATTGCTGTAAGTGACGAGCCATTGCTCTCTACTTTTCCAACCCCTCCATACCTCGACAGTTAGAAAAATGGGTGAAGCTACAATCAGGCTTTTCTCTCTGATCTCGTTTTCACTCGTTCTCTTTCAATTTCTGATCTCAGCAGGTATGTTCATGAAATTGCTTTTCTCCCATTTCCCATCTTCAGGTTTAAAATATTCAAGTATCAATTTGAGGCTGATTATCCTTTTTCAGGTGTTAAGGCTATTGAATTTAGCCTTGTGAACAACTGTAATCACAGCATATGGCCAACTATACGCGCAAATCCGGTCAGCCCTCGCATCGAGCAGACTGGCTTTGAGCTCCCGACTAACACCTCCCGCACACTTCAAGTTCCGAATCGTTGGGTAGGCCAAATTTGGGCCCGAACTGGCTGCAAATTTAACAAATCTGGGCTCGGTACATGCGCCACTGGAAACTGCGCTTCCGGCAAGATCGAGTGCGAGGGAGCCGTAGACGCATCTCCGGTGACCCTTGTGGAGTTTACTCTTGGATTGGGCGGCCATAACTCGTACGACGTCAGCCTCGTATACGGGTTCAACCTGCCGGTCATAGTGGTACCCCTGAACGGGACCAGCTCCTGTAGGTCCGCCGGCTGTAAGACGGACTTGAACCTCCGGTGCCCGGCCGAGCTGAGAGCCGCCAACGGGTTGGCTTGTAGGAGCGGTTGTATTGCATTCGGAACCCCAGATCATTGCTGTAGAGGCGTTTTTGGCTTGCGCGATGCTTGTAAGCCGTCTAATTATTCTGTGATTTTCAAAACAGCTTGCCCCCGTTCCATCGTCACCGGTTACAGTTATCCCAAGAGTACATTCTCCTGCAGAGGTGCAGATTTTAGGATCGCGTTCTGCCCCTTGGATGCTGGTGCAAGGTATAATTATATGGGATTCCTTTTTTTTTTTTCTTAGTTGTTTTGTTTCAGTTGTAAAAAGTAAAAAAATAATTAAAAAAATAATTTTTTGGGAAATTTGAAATAAGTTTTTTCCCCTTAAAGATAAAAATTTCAGATATTTTTGGATAATCAAATATTCAATAATTTTTGAAATGTCTAAGTACAAATCAGAAGTAATTGGAACTTTTCGCTTTGCATAATATCTTGTCTTTTAAGGACAAAAAGTCAGAAAATTTTCTTTTCAGTTTTTTTTTTTGATTTTTTGATTACCAAAAGGTTAAATAATTCACCACCTATCGGGTGGGTGGTTGAACAGGGGAACCAGGTTTTCAAACTAAAATTAGTGATCTATTTAAGGTTGTATTTTTAACTCGTGGTTATTTTTTGGTCTGCAGTAAAAAATCTGCAAAAAAATTCACTTCAGCGGCCTCGACCACCACCGAAGAACCAGGAAGAACCGGGTCCGAGACTCTATATTCGGTATCAAAATTTAGGGTTGTTGGTTCACCTGCATTTCCCGGGCCACATGGATGATTGGATCTGGACTTTCTCGCTTTGTGCTTCAGTCGTTTTTCTTTTTTTTTCGGGTCAGGAGGTTGTAGTGTCGTACTGTGCAGTTACATGCACGCTTCTGGATATCAATAAAATATTTCGCTTGACATTTTGGTTTCTAGTTGCAATGCTTTTCAAACAGTTTTGGCCTCTTCAAACCCTCTGACATTTTTGTTTTAATTATTAATACTTCACATTAAAAAAATTAATTTTTAATATCAAAGTAAATATTATAATATAAATTAACCTTTTTTAAACTAAAAACTGAAAAATATCCAGTATTGTAATTATATTGGAATACATGTGGTGGTCGTGGACATGACTGATAACCAATTTTGCTTTTCTATTTTCTGTAGCGATTCTACGTTGGCTTTATTTTTGGATTTGCTACTTTCCGATTTCAAATAATAAGGAAATGTCAATTTAACCTTAATTACAGTATTTGGTATTTTAATTTTTAATTTAAAAAAGAAAAAAAATTAATTTTTGTTATACTATTTAATTTATATTAAAAATAAAAAATTTAATATAAAGTATTAATTATTCAAAAAAAAATCTCATGCACATGAAATCCCATCTCAAACTCTCAAAAATAATCCTTTTACGCCTGTCTAGCCAATTAAAAAAAAAAAAATTATAAAACCATCATGCAAGTTATCCGTGCAATATATCACCCATTGTTCATGTTTTCCCCATCAATTATTGAAAATTTCTGTGTTAATTTTTTAAATTTTATAGAGCTTTTTAATTTTGTTTATCAAGATTTTATTTTTACTTTTAAAATTTTGAGAAAGGAAGGTTGTTAAATAAAATGGAACTAATAAAAAATGGATTCCAATTTTTTTAAAAATCTTTTTACCTTCTATTTATATGAATTTCTAATTTTATCTCTTAGTTATATTACTTATGTGCCGGATACGAAAGACATGGTACACTTTCAATAATTTTGAGATACCAATCCGCTCACACACCAACCATGTATTAAAAACATTTAATTTCCAATTTCTCATTGATTTTTATAAATATCCATCATTTATTATTATAATAATTTTATGTTTAAAATTTTTTTATTCCTCCTTTTAACAAATTATTGCCGACCGAATGGCACTCTAAAAGAAGCACCAAGTATTCAGCTAAAATCGGTCCTATTATCTCTAGACTATTCCTACCTAGCGGTCCTCACATTTCAGAATTTCAAGAATGTAAAAGTTAGATATCCACTTGGGGCCCACCCAAGATAATTTCTAAAATTAAAAAGCAAAAAAGAGTGAGTAATTTATTTTTATAATTTTTTAACGGAGATATATATAATTATGTGTGTATACAAAGGGTAAAAATGCAATTTGATTGTCAACTTCTAGAACCTGAAGTTATGGATCCCCCATATGCCAAGAGTCTAGAGCTGTGATGGCATTCAAACTTGGCGAGCATGATCCCTCGTAACAACGTGGCAGATTATCTCAATTATTCCCCTGGTCCACTTCATGCAACCAAGAGATCGAAGTGAGTGTTATGCAAATAGAATTATTAATAATGACTTCATGTTAAAGTGGTTATTTTGTTTTTGTTTTTTATGATAATAAATTTAACAAGAAAATAAATTAAATTATTATTTTATATAAAATTTAAATTATATTCGATTATTTATATAATTATGCGTGTATACAAAGGTAAAAATGCAATTTGATTGTCAACTTCTAGGACATGTACTGATGGATCCCACCCATGCCAAGAGTCTAGAGGCGTGATGGCATTCAAACCTGGTGAGCATGATCCCTCCTAACAACATGGCAAATTATCTCAATTATTCCCCTGCTCCACTTCATGCAACGAAGAGATCGAAGTGAGTTTTATGCAACTAGAATTATTAATAATGACTTTGTATTTAGAGGATATTCTCTTTTTATTTTTTATTGTTAATTTTAAAATACTGAGAGTATAATTTGAAATTGATTTACCTCAGATTATTTGCAGCAGAAATTTTTGAAACGATTATTTTTTATTTACTTTCTATCGAGATGAAATCATGTCAGATTAAATTTTCAGATTCACAAGTTATATTATCTTTGATGTGTATTTTGGAGAGAAAAATTTTGAGAGAGAGAGAGATACGTATTGAAAATTTCAACACTCATTTCTCCATAAAAACATATATTTATAGGAAAATGAGGGAGTTATGGGAAATTACAACTTCCCTTTTAATTTAAAATCAAACGGGTCGGGTTGACCTGTTATGGGTGGACTGGATCCGACCCTATATTTCTAACATCTCCCACTCACACGTGAAGTGGTTAATAATGACCCTTGTCATCTTAATACATCACGATTTTCATACTAAGGCAAATAACTCATGCAACCAGCAAGTATATTTGAGTATTCTGTTATGTATCAGTTAGGAGTATATAGCTACTCGCTTGAAAAATTTACATATATATTTATAGTATCTTGCCATACCCTAGACTAATTCTTTATCACATCAATTCAAGCATTTCTGATCCCTCAATAAAAAAAAAAAAATATGCTTGACTAACTCTCAATGTAATCACAATTATGCCATCCATACTAAATAGATTACATAATTGGTTGACTAGTGAATACATATATCATGTTGATAAGTTTTGTCTTCCTTTTCGACAAATAACCTTCAATCTTCAATCAGCTATTTTCCTAGGCATGTCTCTTTAAATCGAATGATTTATGATTATAGATAACCTGCTAAAGTAGCAATACTAAATTGAAGTTTCAGATTATTGCCAAAAGTCTATAAGGGTATTTAATGAGATTTAATAATCTCAAGAGTCTCGCATAATAGAGAAGCAGGGATCGATTCTCCTACTAACCTTTTTTGTTATTTTTTGGCACATGTGGTATGAATCACATGTTACGATGTTACCTCTCTCTTTAAGAGAGCGCATGTGAATATAAATTTTAACATCATACAAATTTAAGTTCAACACACATCAATGTTTAACCTGAGTTCTTCTCACTTTCTAACCTTATCAAGAACTCATATTTGGCTTCTATAACAGGTTAAGTAAATGTATCACATAAACATTTACTTTGATCATTATGACTCAAAATGATCTCATCTTGACTCTCTCCCATTTATCAAGGCGATGATTCTATTTTAAGTCAATAAATAGACTTACTATATGTGACTCAAAATCATCTAATCTTTTCGTACACTTAGTATTAGGGTTGATTGTGTATGCGAGAGAACCAATCTCAAAACTGTTGACATACTTTTTATGTACTCATGAACACAATTTAAATATATATGTGTGTGCTTTAAAGAATCATGGCATATTTAAACAAATTCTCTTTTCATAAGGAAAAATTCGTATAATTTGTTCACAAGTACATTATATTCTTCGTTAGCCCATAGATCTAACATGACTTACATATATACATCATGGGCTAATGGCTTAGTAAAAAGATCAGCTAACATTTAATTAATGGAGACATATTGCACTGTTACTTCATTTCTAGCAATAATATTTCTCATATACTAATAATGAATATCAATATGCTTAGATTTACTTTGATATTTTGGATCCTTTAAACAAGTCAACGTAGCTTGATTATCACAGTAAATTAAAACAGGTCTTCTACTATCATCAGCATTACTTAAATGCTCTAAGAATCTTTTTAGCCAAACAACTTCTTGTATTGCTGCTGAATATGCTACAAACTCAGCTTCCATCGTGGAAAGGGCTACGTAGTTTTGTTTCTTGCTATACTAACTAATGGCTCCACCATTTAGCAAAAACATATGACCAGAAGTAGATTTCCTCTCATCTGGATCTCTAGCCAAATTAGCATCTAAGTATCCTATTAACTTTGATTCTGATCCCTGATAACACAAGCAATAATCTATTGTGCCTTTAAGATATCTTAATATCCTCTTTACTGCTTTCCAATTACGATTTCCGGGATTAGATTGAAAACGACTCACCAAGCCTACGACATAGCAGATATCTGGTCTAGTATACACTATAGCATACATTAAACTACCTACAGCACTGGCATAAAGCTTTTTAGCTATTTTTCTTTCTGTTGAAGAGTCTCGAGACACATGCTATTACATAAGATTTCTCCCTTAGCAACTGGGTATCGAATGATTTACAATTTTTCATTCCAAATCGTTCTAAAATCTTTTCAATATAAGATTTTTGTGATAAGGCTATTAGCCTTTTCGAATGATTTCTTATTATCTTGACCCCTAGAATGAAAGATGCTTCTCCCATGTCTTTTATTTCAAATTGAGAAGACAACCATTCTTTAATTTCAATAATAAACTGTTTATCATTTTCGGCTATTAGACTATCATCCACATATAATGACATTATAATAAACTTTCCTTTAGCTCTTTTAACATAGACACAATGGTTTTCATTAATTATTTCAAAGTCATATGCAATGGCTACGTTGTGGAATTTTATATTCCATTGTCTTGATGCTTGCTTAAGGCCATAAATTGATTTCTTCAATTTGCATACTTTGTGCTCTGGACTTTTAATAATGAAACCTACAGGTTGTGCCATGTAGATTGCTTTATCAAGATCGCCATTAAGGAAAGCTGTTTTTACATCCATTTGATACAATTCTAAATCAAACTGTGCCACCAAGGCAAGAATTAATCGTATAGATGCAAACCGGACTACTGGGGAGAAAGTTTCTCGATAGTCTATACCTTATTCTTGGGTATATCCTTTAGCAACAAGTCTGGCTTTATATCTTTCTATCGAGCCATCAGCTTTACGCTTAATTTTGAGAACTCATTTGTTTCCAATAGCTCTTCGACTTTCAGGTAAGTCTACCAAATCCTAGACTTTATTGTCCTTCGTTGATTTTATCTCTTCTTCCATTGCACTCTCCCACTGTTCCCTAGCCGGGCAATTCAATGCATCATCCACAGTACGTGGTTCTTCTTCCTCTATTGGAGCGACCATGAGAGCTTCCCCATCAATGTCAAATCTACGACGAGAAATAGGTTTTCTTGAACTCTTTCTTAATTCAAGTTCTTGGGAAGAAGGTTCATTCGGTAACA